AACTTCTGAACCGCTAAAGCACAGGAAATATAAAGAAGATCTGGGAGTTTGAGGTTATACTAAGTCCACTTCTACATCCGTATGTACAAACCAGCCAAGTCTGATGTGCTTTCTAAACTAGTGTGTGCACCTTTCTTCGAAACTTACTGTTTTCAAGTTTTCACATAGAGAATTAAAAACTCGAACTTTTATCTGATGAGCTAAATTATTAGATAATCATGAACTTCTGTTCTGTCTTGAACAGGTCAATGGGTGCGTGCTTTCGATGAACGTAATACAAACAAACACAACATATTTCACACTGATGATGGTACGGAAATACCAAATTTTACTTTGATGTATGCAAAAGATGCCTATTTTTATTACGATGGTACGAATGAACTCAATGCCAGAATCTTGAACATTCCGTACAAAAGTCATGGAAACAGTCAATTTGTGTTTACTGTCATTTTGCCAAATCACAATGTAAAACTCTCGGATGTTGAATCAAAACTATATGCTTCCAATGACATGAAAGAAATCTACGCAAAACTTCGACATACTGGAAACATTAAGTTATGGTTACCAAAATTCAAAATCGAATATCGATTCGTGTTAAATAATATGTTACAAAAGTTAGGCATGCATGATGCATTCAATAATAATGCTAATTTTAGTGGCATAAGTAACGAAGAAAATTTAGAAATAAGTAAAGTAATACATAAAGCATTTGTTGAAGTTAATGAATTGGGAACCGAAGCAGCAGCAGCCACTGCAGGTATGTTACACTGATTTACAGTTTGGGCGAAAATAGCCAGTTTACAGTTGATCAAGTGCATAAAAGCCACCTAACACCAGTCTCGTTCATTAGTCAGTTTTACATTTTCGAAGAATAAATAATAAAAATAAATCATAGGATTTTTGAGCAATTAACCGAGCGTAATTGACAGTTCTTAGGTCGTTTCTTTTCTGCGATTGTTTTTGATCGTGAGCTTTCTCTATATTAGTTTTTGCAAAAAATAGTCGATTAACACATAGTACTATCTAGACTGGGTACTATCTAGATTTGCCATTCACTGGCCATTTATAACAGACGGTTTCTTAGAAGATTATAAAAACCACATAATGACTGACGTCTTGTGCGAAAATGATTCAGTGTTGAAATCGTTCGTTGAAAAACAATTTAGCAGAATTTATAATTTATACTGGTAAACTGGCTGTTGATTGGCAATTGATGGGCAGTTAACCTGGCTAATTTCAACATCCCGTTGCTGCAGCTGGTTGTCACTGTCTGTTTGTATTTATTTTAAATGTTTAGTAGTTAGTTCAATGTCAGGAGCGCGATTACCACCTGTGAAACCTCTATCAATTGAATTTCGTTGCGATCGATCGTTTATTTATATGATTCGTGAACATGGCTCTTCAATTACACTCTTTCAGGGACGATTCATTAAACCGTAATTAAACAACATTTTTTTTTGAAATAGACAATTACTTAAAATTCATGTTTTCTAAAATTAAATGTATCTTTTGTATCATCATTTTCTCGACTTTTTTCTGGATTGCTCATTTATTTTAAATGTCTTACCTAAGCTAATTCTTTTTCGAAGGTGTTCATTAGTATAAAATGTTTTTGTTGAAGATATGAAAGTAGCATTTTGCACTTAATAAAGAATTCCACTTTTTCGCAAACCCAATAAAGCATAACGTGACTACTTCCACGTGAAGCGTTCAGGTTGTAAAACTTTAGGATTCTGGTATATGTCAGCCATTTAAGATATTCAGAATATCAAATGCA